TGGCAGTTTTGAACTGCTGACCTTGTGGTTCGTAGCCCGATTCGTAGCCACTACGCTACCAGAGCAGCCCCCCAAATAGGTCAGATAATGATTAACATACATAAAAAAACAGTAAGTCTTGGCTGGGGGGAAACCTAGGTAAAAGGTATGCTGGTGGCCTCTGGGGAGTTGAAAGTTTCTTACTTCTCTGTTTCTCATGCCAGGGACAGGTATGGGAGTCACCATTCCAAATGTGGCAAAATTCCAGGTCTCTGAGGGACTGAGAAGGGTCAGGCTGAAGGTAGAGGGGGGCCTTTGTGTCTGGGTTGGACATTTGGGATTTACTTTCTCTAAGACCTAAGTTGGTAACTACAGCATTTTAGCTGTTGGTTTTTTCTGTTTTTGAACTGTAAAAAGAAATTCCCAAGAGAAAAAGTGGATACTTTTTTTCATGAAAGAAGAAAGTAGTGACCAGTTTAAGGAAGTACCCAACTTTGTGAGCACTGGGAGAAAGAATGCTCAGGGTTTTGCTTTGATTCAGAAGCACCTTGGTATGTGAAGGGATGTTGGTGAGAAAGACAAACAGCTTCGCACAACCGAATTCTGCTTGCTCTTGAGGTGGTTCTGCAGGAAAGCTCCCACTTTGATTCAGACACTCAGAATCCTCACCTCCCTCCCACTCCTGACCCCCATTATCCTTTCCCTACATTTCTGGTTGTCAACCTCAGCACTGTTGATGTTTTCAGCGGAATCATTCCTTCTTAAGGAGCCCTGGTAGTGTGATGGTTAAGTGCCGCAGGGCCTGGCAATCTGCTCCTATGAAGTGACTGTTGGGTTTCAACTGCCAACCTTGTGGTTCAAACTGACCTTGTGGTCCAGTGCTTAATCTTACAGCACCATAGCAGGATCCATAGGGCCAGTTCTACTCTGTCACATGGGGTCACTATGAGTTCAAAATAGACTCAAGGACAGCTAACGGTAATTCTGTATTGTAGAGGGCTTGTGCATTGTAGGCTGTTAAGCAGCAACCCTGGTCTCTACCCACTGTTGGTGTTGCTGTTAAGTGCCAATGAGTAAGTTCTGACCTATAGCGACCCTGTATAGGGTTTCCAAGGAGCAGCTGGTGAGCTTGAACTGCCGACCTTGCAGTTCAAATGGCTTTGCAGTCTGGTGCATTAACCCACAGTACCACAGCAGGACTCACTAGATACCTCCAAATGTTCAGTATCCCAGGGACAAAACTGCTCTCTGTGGGGAATCACTCCAACTTGAGGAGCCTTCTAACTAGTCACACAATTGACTTATTCATTACATGTATTGTTTCTTGCCTGTCTCCCCTCCACTGAGGGGATTTTGGTCTGTTTTATGCACTGATGTATCTTAAGTGCCTAGAACAGTGCCTGTCTGATAGCTGGTGCTTAATAAATACTTGTCTGCAGATCAGCACTGGACTGTAAACGAACCACAAGGTTGATAGCTCAAACCCATTAACTGCTCCTCAGAAATCCTATACAGGATCACTATGGGTCAGAACAGACTCGTTGGCACTTAACAACAACAACATTCCTTTTCTAGTGGTGGAATGTTACACTTACCCTGTGTTGAAATACCCTGTTGCAATAAAAACAAGGATAGGCAATGGAATCAACCAACTTGGGTTTGATTCCTAACTAGGTCATTGACAAGCTGTGTAATATTGTGTGAGACTCTACCTCTTTGAGACTTGGTTTCCTATTTTGTAGAACAAGTAAAACCTTGCATCTGAGAGTGGTTGTGAGGGCTATACATGACTTAGAACAATAACTAGCTCACAGTAGGTACTGGATAAACATATGCAAAATAAAAATGATT